CTAAAAAAGGCAGAAGGTTGAAACTTTAGGAGGGGTGTTCCCTCTCCAAGTACAACTTAAGTATTTGAAATTAAGCCTTGAGGTACGCGTGGTTCTTAAGTACGGGCACTTCAAATTTTGACTGAATAACTGGCTGAGCAACTAGATTACTTTTAAAGAACGATCGTTAAATGGAAGTTGTGCATCTACTTTATGCGAAATTTATGGTGATTTATGCAAGTGACCGCAAAGGGTAGGTGTAATCAACAACCATTCATGCAGTTAATGACCCGAGTACTTCAAGTCCTGTGCAAAAACGCATGATCGCACAGGCCCGCCCGGTGCGTTCCAGCCTGGGTTATTCATTTCAAGACCTACAAAAGCTACAGGGCTGAAACTTTGGGAACTTGATCTATATGCACGTGCGGGCCCCATTTCCCAAAATGGGCGCTCTACCCGCATGGTACCCACGTACGGGGCCGCCAAAATTTTTTTCGGGTAAATCGCTAACTCGCGGACCAGAAAAGCTAGAAAGCTAAGATTTTAAGGGGATGTTACCCGTCCACGCAAGTTTTCTACCAGTCCAGAGCCTGCCTTCGGGTATGCGTGCTACCCATGCATGGGCCCGTCGAAATTTTTTTCTGGTAAGTTTCTAACTCGAGAATTTGAAAAGCTAGAAGATTGTAATTTTGAGGGGATATTCACCGCCCGCCTCGGTCTCATTGAATTCATACCTAGCCCTCGGGTGTGCGTGGTATCCATATGCGGACCCGCCAAAATTTTTCCGGGGTAAGCTACTAACTCGGGAGCCTGAGAAGCTAGAAGAGATGTTTCCTGGCAGCCTTGGCGGCCAGTCCAAAATTCTTTTAGCTAGAAGCATCGCCTGGGAGCTATGCAAACCCAGGCTGGAACGCACCAGGCGGACCGGTGCGATTATGTGTTTTTGCACTTTTCGTGCCGTAGCAAGATCGCAAGGAATCAAAGTAGCAAACCCTGTGAAATACTGGCCCTCGAAGTTCGGGAAGTTAATTGTGCAGCTATGTGGTATTTCAGTTGTAGGTATTGACTTCAGTGACCCGACAAATGGAAAATTGCTGGTCCGCAAAAAAGACCACGTTAGAAGAGTTTAATTTAAAATTTTTTAGTCGCACATGAGCAGGGAACATAGCATTAAAATTAAAGCCTTTAGCTTTACCCGTTCCCGAGTCAGCAGTTTTCCCATCAAAATTATCATGTATCCGTACGTGACTAGCGAACGGTTTTAAGGAGCTGGATTTAAAATTTTTTGGTCATACATGGGTAGGGAACATAACCCTAAACTTCCAGCTTTCTAGCTTTTCTCGTTCCTGGGTTAGTAGTTTTCGCGCCAAAATTTCCACATACCCATACGTGGGCTCC